CTAAGAATTCCACGACTTCAGCGTTCTCTTGAATCATGCGCGTTCTTAGGAGAAGGACAGAGGGAGTTGCTGAATGATCGTCGTCTGCTGCCGTGTGTGCAATTCTCAGAAGCTGTAGTAGCAGCATTTTATCTACAAGTGACTTTCATAATCATAAAACGCATAGCAATCTATGTTTAGCGTTAGCAAATACTTGTTATGTAGAACAAATACCATGTGACCGGTTGATCCTCGGTATTCCGAGGTACCATTGGTTGACTTTTCTCCTGTATGTTATCCAATGCACAACAAAGATGCGTGATATTCGGCGCTATAGTAAATAGCTTTCATCTACTGGTTAAATCCTTTCCAGTTATTACCAAGCTGACGCAGCTAGAGCAGTGTCGTAATCGTCTGGTGAACATTAGAAACTCAACATACATTTTAATAAAATAGAATGCGTTTTGTGGAACTCAAATTAGGACCACACGAAGTTACTTTCCACTGTCTCGAGTTCACGGACCTGAAGAATATAGCGCTTTTGGCGCGTTTCTTTCCTCATCCATTGGGCACCGAAATGTCACGTGCTTTTCAATTGAAAGTAGTTCAGCAAAGCATTTTTAAATAATGGTGTTGCTAGATACAATAGGGTAGGTTTTGAGAAGGTTCTATGGCCTTGACCTGATGGCCCCACATGAAGAGTGTTAATGTTTCATTTTAAAGTCACATGGGTAGGATCTAATGCACTATTATTAAATCCTTCCGCCGACGCCGTTAACATCAGTGGTACACGCTTAGACTTTGTATACCAACACGGTAACTACTCTAGAGTATGCCCAGACGTTCTTTACTGCACTGCACTGTCGCTTCTCTAGTTAGCTGATATGGTACATCCGATAACACAGCCAGGCTTTCCATGTCAATTTCCAAGTGTGCATCTCCTAAAATACTAATGTGTCAAACTTTTGATTGCCCATCTTAAGGAAGCAATTGGCTGCTTTGTTTTTATTGGCGCGGTTTTAGTCTTATACAGACAGACAAGGTCATCTTGCGGGAGCACTAAATTTTTATCATGAAATTTGTGCGCCATATTTAATGACACTAGTCAGTAGTCGTGAGTACTGGTGACTAAGAATTTAACTATGCACCTAACGACGATGAACTAAATCATGTTATTATTTGACCGTCTTCATGCATTATCCACATCACTGTAATGTGGTGTGGTGTTTCAGTGTATCAATCGCACGCCATTTCTTCAGATCATCCTCAAAATGTGGTGAAAGTTAATGAGCTCCTTGGTTAGTTTGTTTACGAAGACTAAAAGCTGCCGAACCTTGTGGTGTGCGGCACCGGAATCACAGTTCATGATACTGAAGCATGTGAATTAAATGCGGCAGTTCAAAATGCTTACTGTCTTTGAAAAATCCAGATTGCTCAGGCTTTTTCTACCCAGCATCAAAGAACCCCGCCCAAGCTATACCGCTATCTATGGGTTAGTGTTGCCTAACCGATTCGGAGAGACCCTTCCTAAGTCGTAGCATGAGTTTTTACATTCGCTAGACATCCAATGATTCCTTCCGCAATAGCATAATCAATGGCATCGGAGGTAAACAATAGCAATGCCAACGTGGTATTTTAACATTGTTTCTAAGGGATTGATACTTTTTAATTAAGTGTGAAGATCTCTTGCTTCAAACTAGTAACGACTCACAACTCACTAATGGTTGAGGGGGATTTTCTAGCGGTTTTGCTAAACTAACGACTGACATCTTTAGTGTATTGGAGAAATATCGGCTGTACCAGAAGGGCTGTGATTGCAGAAGGAAATCAGTCAATTCCGGAAAATCCATGCGGTAAACAATACTTGATTCGCCCTGATAATACTATGAGCTGCATAAGTAAAATAATTGATGTTTGGAAATTGAAGGCTAAGTTTGTCCAAATGGGTTGGCAACGTATGCTTACCTGCGGCGGAGCAGGATTTTTGCGTCAAACCGAACGAACTTCTCACCCATTTCCACAAAGTTACGTGCTTTCAAATCAGAATCTTATCAAAAACTCTGTCTTTACTTTCATCTATCTTTACGGAAAAATTTAACGCGATAATCTATTGGTTTCTGGAAGACACCCTAGTTCGGATAGGCTAGGTTGGTTCGATAGGCCAATCAACTAAATGTTAGTTATTTCTGTGGCTTGCTTCTTTATACCGGCATAATCTTTTTGGAGCAGTGCATTTTTATTTCGGATGTGCTTGCCGCTAATTTCTTGTTGCTTGGTCAAATCCTTCAATGTTACCACAAAAGGAATTCGGTTAGGAAAGGTCAGTGAGTTACGCCAGCGAGGTCAGCTAAATTATAATAATTGGTTACCACGTAAGAATATTTTGTGCCTTTCTCGAGTTGTTCTTAGAAGCAGAGCATACGGAACATGTGTACTGCATGATAGCTTCGGCCTAGTGTCATGCGCATCTTTACTACTTATGTCAAATACTCCGCCTTGTTGAACAAGAAGTCCACGCTAGCCGAAAATTTTCCGTCCTGGAACGCGTCGCAGATTTGACTCTGCTGTACAGCAATAGAAAATGATTAGCTTGTCCAATTCCCATTTGAATTGTTCAGCACAATTGGTCAGTGATCCCAAGGAAGCAAGTCGAATTACACAACAAGCACAACACTCCAAAATACCACACCAGCTCATTCATCAAATAAGAGGCTACAACCAGTCCCATTTCATGGTAGATATTACTCGCCAGTATATAATGAACGCTAAGCGTATGTTGCTCTGTCTTAGGTGTCGATTTGATGACTTAAGCTCCTGTGCCGCTAGAACGAGGGACGTGGGTCGTTGTTTGTACATGGAGAGTAATAAGAGGCACTGAAAACTTAGTGTCTGTGACTGCGTCATTCAACAATGTTGCAGTCATCTTGATAAGGTCCCAAGACGTTGATTGTTGCCGAGATATCAAAAGCATTCATTTTTCTGAGGAGGCCTGTTTGTTCATATTCAAACAATGGAGGGCTGTATATGGTGTATTCGTATGTGAAAACACAAACATTTCTTGTAATCCTTAGCCCAGGCTTATGATGTCCTTTTATGATCTTTTTCTGGGTGTACTACTAACCTACCGCCAGGGGTTGATTAGGCCTGGTAAACAAAGCATCCACTGGTTAATTCCTTAGTCTCTGCATGTAGCTAATTACAAGTTTTTCTAGTGACCGTCGTAGCAGTTACATTATATGGTGATTTGAAAGTGCAGTTGGGTAAGCTTGTAACCCAACGCGCTGTTTTGTGATTTTATAGGCAATCATAACCAGGTATCGGTCACATTTGGATGTTATTCTGATGGTTGTTGGGGTTTACTTTGTGTCAAACTCGAGGCACCGTTTATAACTTGGATTGGAGTTGAGCACAACATACATCGATCTCGGATCACATTCGTTGTATTTGGGTGACTGGTGAGTGATTTACATTGACTTGTTAAGCAAATTGTTGATGGAGAGATTCACGGAGTTAGAGAGACTCCAACAAGTCATGAGCTTTTCTTGCAACATGTAGTAGATCTGAATTATAGGAACACTGTGGACACAGGATAACAGATCTTGGGTTAATCGGCAAAGTTTTCTTGTCAGCTGACGCAAACACCAAGACATGTCAGAGAAAACACGCCGGATGCATGAAGAATCCCCAAAACCTGAGGCTGACAAGACAACTACCTTAATTCGTCACTCAACTGAAGTGTCAACTGATGTAGCGCCCTTTTGCTTTAGGGAAATGAGCTTAGTTGAAGAAAGATTGGAACAAAAATGATCCGTTTAACTAGATCTCCGTTACTTAACCTGTAGTGTCCCACTGATTCTTGTCGATCAATGCGTCGTTTTGGTTGGAGGGAGTTTACAATCAGGGACATTAAAGTATTTAATCTTCAATGAGTGATGCCCATCTCGAGATTTTACAATGTTAAACAGGGTGTAATGCGCGACCGCGTTGTTTCCTCAGTAGCATTCATGGTGCCCTTGATACTCTGACCTGAGTGCATATGTAGCATTTAAGTCTTGTCGGATATGTGCAAGCTAAACATGTTTCTAAACACTGTGTGAGGAAGTGGCTGCTGCTGACTTCTCTTATGTTTCCTAGTATTTTTTAAACCTCACTATTACTTTTAAAAATCTTAAGTAGATGCCTGTTGTGAGAATGAGCATGTTCCAACCGATACGTTGAAAGTATGTCGATTAAGAAGATGTAGGCCCGATAGTTGGGCTTTAGTCATCTAGAAACCTCAGGATGTAAGCTACAATAGAACAAACTATAGGTCATAACCCAAACTAGAATAGTCGCAGTTTACAATAGTGTTGAAGTAATAACAATATAAGAATATAAATTCACGTCATTCTCCCGAGCCAAGAGAAGCTGATTAATATGTCTAGTACTTATGTAAATTAAACTTCGCGACGGCGTAAAAAATATACGGTCTTGTTCTTCGTTGTCGGATGAACGTGCCATCAGTATTAGCACGAATCTCAGAGGAAGTAAAGGAATATTCGTGTGTAACATAGTGTCCCTTCGGTGTGGGCGAGTGTGGTTGAGATGGGACCGATGAATCTGTGGAGTTGTATGTCATTACGACAGGTAATCTTTTTCTGGTCCCCTAGGTGCTAAGTGGTGTAAATAAACTGTCTCTTTGCTATCATCAGATAGCCGAACTTGGGAATATTCTGGATTTCATCTAGCAGATCTTCTTCCTGGGCAAAATGATCCTACTTGGATGCACGCACATTTTTGTGCAGGATAGCAGGTTCAAACAATAGTAACCATTGTTGAAGAGTAAGTACAACTGGTGACTTCCTGTTATACAGGAACATTGGGTGCATTATTAGTAACAGTGCACATCAAGGAACGAACCGAACTAAGGGCTTATGGTAGCTCACACACCGAATGTTCTACTATCAGACTTCGTGACCATAGACAACGCGAGGTGTCTTCGATAATGTAGCATTGAGTCGCTCCACTTTGCCGTTGCATTAATGAGTGTAGCTAGTGATTCTTCTGGTCGCTCCCCCACGCTCAATCATAAATGTTTCGACTCTTCTGACGTGAACGACAAACCTGGTCAGCATGTATACAGGATGCATTCCAAAGATAGAAAACAAGTCAGTGAGCTTGTGTATGATAGTGGATGCCGTAATGTCAGGATAGGCGTATGCAAACGGGAATATGAAATACTCTTCAATAACTGAATACGTAGCAGTTACGCGAGGCAGAATGTATTGGTCCCGTAAAGTCCATGCTTAGTACTTCAATAGGCTGAACTGCATTGATAAACGAATTTTTGACCATTGTGCAGAACTTCAGCTTCATTTGAAAGCATATAGAGCAGTGCTGTATTATTGGTTTTACATTTTCCAAGTAATATGGTAAGTTCTTCGCTCGAACGAATTGGAAAAGTTGTATAATGCCAAGTTGACCTAAAGTTTCGTGAATGGGCTTCAGATAGTTGAGTGAATGACTTATTTCACAGTATGCCCTTGGTAATGTGTTAACTGTGGAACTCTGGGTGCCGGGTCAATACACCAAATCGTAGGAGGATTGAGAAAGCTCGGTACTCCATCTTCGAATTTTATCCTTTTTAATCATTCGTTCCAGCTTCGTCTCATGCATGAAAACATCTGCGCGATGGTCAGGTATCAGACTAAAATAGATTCCGAGTAGATAGTGCCGCATTTCCTTATAGGTTATACAATAGTATAGGCTTCTTTCTCCACGGCTGAGTCGTTTCGCTCAATAGAGCACATTGCCCGTAAGAAAAATGAGACCGTTCGCCCGTTCTTGTGGAATGTTGCAAAAATAGCGACATCAGCTGCATCAGTCTCAAATAATAATGGCGCCTTTCTGTCAAAAGCGACCAGGGCCGCTTCGACTAGTCCTACCGCTTTTGACGCATACGGGTTCAAAACAATATTTGGCAGTCTAAAAATCTTAGTCTGAACAGGCGGATGGATCTTGTCCGAAAAGTGTGAAAACCATTGGGAATAGCAGGCAAACATCAAAACTACGCTTGTTTGTGATTTGTGATGCATTGACGGTATCATTGCTAGTGACTTAAAGCAATAAGCGTTCAGTTTCACTGTGTAAAACAAAATTCCGTAACCAAACAATGAAATTTACTTGGCCGCAACTTTGCGGCTTTAAGGTTTAGAATTATCCCATACTTTTCTTCGACGCGAAATAAGCTTAGAACCCTTGTGTCATGTTCTGCATGGTTCTTTGTAACACACAGTAAGAATATTGACATAGACAAATGTTCCCTTGTGATTTTTGTGGCTAATCAGTTCATCCATAATGAGTTGGAAGCATGCACCATGTTTGGTTACCGCAAAAGTATATGGCGGAACTGATATATGTTATTGCAGGTTTTAAATGCGGTATATTTCTTCTCGTCCTCCTTTACAGAGATTTCATGATAGGCACGCTCTAGATAAAGAGTGCTGAACACCTAAAAATTATATTTATGTTCGTTTATATAAACTATACACGGTAAAGGGTAAGCTTCCTGTTCCAACAAACAGTTTATGGTTTGGTCATGATCAACAACCATTCGTTTCTTTTCCCATTCGCTGGTGGTTACCAGATATTGTGCACGCCAACTTCTTTTGAAGAAATCAGTGACGCTCGTACAATTAAATCCGATGGATCAAGTAAGCGAAAGAGATTGTGGTTGTTTTGTCATCACTTAGGCTAACCAACTCAGTATTCTATAAATAATGCCCAGTAATTTCTACAAACGCTCAAGGACCTGCGAATAGATGATGATGAAACAATGATATCTTGCGACTTGACTGCCCTATTTATGTCTGTCAACTTACAAACACCAATAACAGTCCTCACAAAATGCCTGAACAGCGGTGAATAAACAATCGGGAACATGACGACCGAAAATGTATTCAGCCTACTCCAGTTGTGTCTATCAACCTACTTCACTTTCAAGGGGAAAATCTGTGAACAATCCAAAGGCGCAATGTGAGCACCTACATCTGGACCTGTCGCAGAGATGATAATGCAGAAAATGGAAGGGGATGTACTCCCACTCAGTAATACAAAGCTGAGTGTTAAATATGTTGACGACACTTTTATAATCACCAAACGCAGTCAAGTTATAGTCCCACAGCAGCTATTGAACAACGCCATTGAAGACACCCGATTTACGACGGAAATGAAGAGTGAATCCAACTGTCTTTCCTGGACTTATAAGTGACCAGAACCATAAAAGGGAGGCTGCAAACATTAGCTTACAATAAAAGCACACAAACAGACCAACTTCTGAACGTTAACAGTAAACATCGGAAATGCCACAAAGTAAGCTGTGTGCGGACGCTATTTGGTAGAATGCAAACATACTGCAGTGCAGCGGAGGCAAAGCAACAATAGGAGGAGTATCTATTTAAATGTTTACAGCGAAACGGATACCAGTGAAGCTTCATCTGAAGGTGTCTGAACCACAACAACGCAAACCTACATTCTACACCAAAGATAAGCAGGTGCATTGTCATGTCTAAATTAAAAAAATATTTCCGAAATGGCAGCAATACTGTTCAAACACGGCCACTTAATTGTAGCAAATAAGCTAACTATCACGTTGAGAGAAACTCTGTCAACAACGGAAGCTAAATTGAAAACTCGTGGACAACGTAATGTTGTCTATACACTGCGTTGTTGAACACAAAAATGACTATGTTGGTCAAACAGATAGAAAATTAGCAACGGGAATACAAGAACACAAAATAGCACGTAAAACACATCAGTATCAACGCACATGGACGATTAAGATAGCTTCAATTGGACCAAAACAGAAATCCTGGCACGAGTAGAAACAAGGAGAGAAAGGGAATTCCTGGAAATGTTTTTTTCAACAAAACTCAGGTAACATTCGTTTCGACATCAACCCAGTCCACCAGTCCCTCCGACGTAAGGAGCTATAGGAAATTACGAGAACTTGCCTGAATAAGAACAACCCGAGGGACAACTTCCGCTCCGGGGAAAATGGGTACAGACAGGGAGGCGAGGATCAAAGCAGTCACTATCAAAAGGTCACCTCCACACCGATCACGGATAGACGAATCAATCAGCGAGATCACACTCTACATCATAGCTCACTGATGTTTCCAACTCACATGGTGGTGACAAGTTTGCAAACAAGTTCCCAAGCTTGTCAAAACAATGGGCAACTGAACTCTGGCTCAACCCATTCACCCAATATTCACTCACTCTACAAGAACTATAAGCTAATATTTACTTAAATACTTTCAATAGGTTTTGTCGGAAACTTCTAGCTTTCTCCAGAGAGATCCTCGCCACAAATGCGATTCTGCATTAGCATCCCTTCTAGGTACTAATGCCAAAACTGGAATGCCGTGTCTGCATATATTACATTAAAAATTTAAAAATTTGTACAGCTTTTTTAAGTCACTCGATCTGGCAACGTTAGTAACTTTTCCGAACAGACAAGGCGCATAACTTGATGCAGCTTGTACAAACAAAATTTGTTAATGATCCACTTAAAAGCGTATGCCACCGCGTAACACGTGCATTGTAACTCAATGACTTGCCCTATCAGCTGCAGTATAACTGTTGTGCAACGCTGATGAACCGACCTTTTTGGACCGTCCAACGTCGTATTTGATCGGCTGAAAATAAGGTAAAACTAAAGCAGCCCATTCTTTGTCGGACTTATTTTTAGTTTTCATTGATGAGAATCTATGTTACTGCAAACATCACACGATGTACGTTAACTTTTGCTTCTACATACGCTGTCTTTTTGGAACGACGTAGCTGTGAGCCGACAGACTTTCTTTGCCCCTACTGAAACAACTAGGAAGTACAAAAGAACTTCACAATTTTAAAGTGAAAACTCGCGTCTGAAACCCAAATAAAGCTGAAATAACACGGTTGCACATTTTGTACCTTGAAACAGTACTGAGAAACCATAAGTGTTGTGATCTCTGTATGCTGTTAAAGCAAACCTGGGGTATAAGTACCGTCACCTACGCTTTAGCAGTGGATGTGGAAAAAACCAATGCTGAGTTTTGCTCCACACCGTCGAGCACTTTTCCATTGCTCTCCTTCACATGCTCAGGTATAGCCTCCCATTTTAATTAACATGACTTGAGCCCTGCACTCAGAATACAACAGCCAAATATGGCTTATGTTTCTGCTGCCTCATCGTCTTTGGTTTTGAAGCAGTGTGCCGATTTCAGCAAGCTGCCTTTGACTGACATTTTCAACACGTGTCTCACGCCTGATGTCATCCTCGCGATCGGGATTGGCCAGAATAATACTGGTTCCCAACAAAACCAGCCAATTTCTAATAACTTTCTGTTTTAAAAGATCATCTGAAAGCAACCAGCTCCATCGATTTACATGGCTACTCATGCTGATGTTGTCCTTCACTTTACCTTTTAAGCCCTGCGCTCTATGCCAGCTTCTGTCTCGTACCTTGTGTATTCTACAGCTTCTACTTTCGCTGAAAGGCATAAATCAGTACGGCTTCTTTTTCTTTACTATCCAGGTTCTTTCGGGAGTCGTACTCGATCGGCGATGCCTAACGTGCTTCAGATGAAAGGAGTCCACCCTAGTGTGTGCATATTGTTGCGTGACTATTATGACCCTAGTACGCATTTCATTCAGTCAGATTCTCTAAGCTCCGCGCTGACTACCGCATTTTACAGAATGCCATTCTCTCACCCTTCCTATCCATCCCCCCAATATTTATTAGAGGTATATACGCGAACGATCTAGTCTTAGTGTGCACAGTTGCCTACATTGAGATGCCCTTGGATGCGGTTTAGACAAATTGTGAGTTGGTCATCATCTAGTCCCATTCACCTTAATGCTTTAAAGTCTCCTGATGTAAAACTTTCATTTTTCGCCCTGATAAGTTGGGAGTACTTTTCGATACCTCTCCTCTATTAACTGTAAAGGATAACGGCAGGTCTTTTTAAGCCATTGTCAAGTAACCCGATAGTTGTTTGTTTCAGAATCTATTTTGGTCCACACATTTATGGAAAATTTTACAGGGTTAGAATTTATTGATATGCCTTCAGTTTAAAAAGGTTTCAGTGTCCGAAAGTATACTTTTGAGAGTTGCAAACCCATGTATACAACCCAGTGATAATAGCAAAGATGTGATTACAGCCACATGCTGAGATGTCACTAAAAGTTCTTCAGACACAGTGAGAGTTGTTCAGGCTTTCTTTTGTGTTTCATGACATTAACATATAGACCCAAATTTTCTAAATAATATGTCGTGTTGCTCTGTCTAATCGGATATGCGAATCTGCGCTGGATTAAGGTCGTTCGACAAGAATTTGAGAGTTCTAGCGCCTCCATTTTATTTACGTAGCTATCCGATTTGGCATTTTTCAGCGAATCGATAATCAACCGCAAAGGACTTGCTCATATCCCCTAATGATTTCTACATTATCCACGTCGATACGGCTGTACGTGTCTAACGTAAGGACACCCGCGGCCGAGTATGTTAATAATAACTGGTTTTCCATATCATACTTCGGTGGTATTAGATTTCGACTTTTGTGCTCGCAACGATCCGTAACCCTAAGCAAGTTTGACCTCTGTATGCATGTGCGCAGTAGCTGAACTCTTTTTGTCCGTCGGTTCTAAGTATATTTCACTTCAACATATTTCAAAAACTCCCCTCTCTGAGGTTCAGGTTACTATCCGCTTGTAAAATGTGTGAATTTCGATTGTATATACTAGTCATTCTAGTTAGATTTTTCAAACGTATATTACCGTTCTGATCAAGATGATGTCCAGAGTAGGTGTTGAGCATTTCCCTCACTTATATTGCAGAATTTAAAGTTCCCAATTTGAAGCACAGCTGTGCTAGATGGACGCGTAAAGCAATTTCTTCTTCGCTTTGTCTTCCTTGGATTAAGGCTTTCGAAGAATGCAATAGTATATGCTTTGAGTATTCAGAAATATAGTTGGTATGTTTGAGCACATTCAACTGTGTTATAATCCAGGAGCTCTCCAAGATATTTAAATGCGGTAATAAACAAAAGCAACGAAACGTCATTTTTGGTCAGCATTTAACAATGACCGGAGGATGATCACAGTAGCATTGTGAAATCCACATTCTAGCATTGAACCGATACACCACACTTACGTCGACTCATCAAGCTGATCACAAGAAGTAAAATGTTCATTTTGCTACCATTTTACAAGCAAAAGATTCACCAAGCTTTGCAAACGTCTTCTGGCGAAAAGGATCTGGGCGTTTTGGCTCAGACCGACCTTGAATCTTCAAATCAGACTGAACAGGCTTCAGAAAGAGGAATCCAATACGTAGGCGTACTGAGGCGTACATTGTGACGATTCAAACCTGCGGTTTTTCCTCAGCTTCTAGGCTTTTACCTACGTCCACATATGGAATACTCAATAAAGCCCGGCAGCTATGGCTTAGGGAAGATCTCGGAAAATTAGAGATACAATAACTCCATGCGACCGAGAATGTCAAAGTTTTGTATAATTTGCCGTTTAAAAATGTTTTCATTGTTCGAATTCCTAGCGGATAATATCGGTGAAAGCATGCTAAAGCTCAGTCGCCACCGTAACTTGAGAGGCCATCATCTCAAGCTGGCAAAGCAGTACAGTCGTTTTGAATGCCATCGGAATTTTTTTTCCGTACCTGTTTGCAAAGCGTGGTATGATCTACTGGTATCTGCCGTCTGTGCTCCGATACCAGTAGGTTTCATAGCTTGAGTTGACTGCGCACTCATTTCGCTGCACCACAACATATGACTCACTGCGCCTGCTTAAATAGTAGTGTCTGTTAGAGGCTTTGATGCAGGTCAACTAACGGAATGGGTTCCAATTTTTTCACTTCCTGTAGTGGTCATCAGCAGACAACGCAATGTTCACTAACACCTTATTTGTCATTATTATTTATGGACGTACAGTGGATTTACATTTTATACCACGAATACCCCGGTGAGTTTACCAAGGTGAATCCAATTTTGTTAACAAATTTTCCGTATTTCGCAATATTTACCGTGACCATCCTAGGGACCTGTCAAGCTTTAGTTTTTTCACTCGTATAAGTCTATTGTTCTATTGTACCCTAGTACTGACTAATCCAGCGTCTTCTCCGGATGAAAGTGGTTCATAACACATAGATGGAAAGCTCACCTTTCTTACTGTTCTACATGTAGATATTGCTATAAAATGCAAAGTAGCTGAAATGCTGTTTAATGATAATAGCTTAGAGCATCCCAATTTTGTGTGACGGTTTTGGAAAGTAGTAGCCACATTTGGTCTGGGATATTGGGAAGCAAGCAGCAAGCGTTTAAATAATCCCACCGCACACTTCTCCTCATGGCACCGGCTAGTTTTGGTACCAACAGTTATTGTGGACTTAACAATTGCAAAAACGCTTCGTTGCTATCCGATTTCCAGCCTAAAAACAAGGTACAGGGTTTTAATTCTCCTCAGCATGCGATGTGCTTTTGCATGGTACCTCTTGTCAGCATCAAGCATTTCCAGAATGATGAAAGCGCAGAACTAGGAAAAGTGCTTCAATCTAAACTAGCACAATTGCTTCCATTTTCAGAAACTTGCATAAAATTTCGTGAAAGATCAACATTGGTGCCAAACAGTCAAATAGGTTGGTGTATTTTTACTGTTGGAGTTGTGTTTGTGCTAATTAGAATGCGATGAATACCGAAAAATACACACTACAGTTCGTTTTAGCAGGTGCCACATTGCCCTATAGAAATTGCCCCTAAAGTTTCCATCACTTAACCGAGAGTAAACTTTTTTGACAAGCATTGAGTTGCTCTGATTTTCATGGTTTAAACTAAATGCCTAGGAATATCGGCACACACAAGTAGTATTCAGTAATATGCCATGAACCAGCAATTAAACAAGAAGCATGTTACTAATGAGGCCACGTGCACCTACTGATGAACGGTGGATCCGCCCATGCAAAAGCATAAGAAGAAAATTTTATATTTTTGTACTTAGTTCTTCGCAGCCTCTTCTCAAGCAGGCCTGTTTCCAAGTGTCTGCAGAAGCAACGGACGTCCTGTTCGAACTCCTTTTTCTCGCCGGTAGTGCGCGTACCTCTGACCCTAGGCGGGTACCGATCTCACGACTTCCGTATGCCAGCAGTTTTGTGCCACTAAACCATGGGTAACGGAGGCGGCGCTGCATGACTGACAGTTGACTATGATATTGCGTACAACCTGCTGGAATCCCGACCGCATGGGTCCGAAACCCGGCAGTGGTCCATATAACCTGCGTTAGTGACGAAACTCAGAAGTTCGTAACAGCCGTTTAGAGCTTTTCCTTTCGGGTGGGAGCCGGGGTGACTTTGAGGGATGTGCGGCAAATTACAAATAAAATTACCTCTGATCCCATTACTTGTGTGTTTATAGAAGAAAGTAGATTATAATGTAAGAAAATCTGAAGATCCATTCAGCCCGATGGTTTAGAAATCTTTTGAATTTAAATCAAATTTTTCATCTCACTGTAAGCAAATCAGTAGCAAAGCGTGATAGTTAAGTCATACAATGAACTAGTTGACATCTCTCTATTAACATATGTTTACTTACTATCCAGTGCTCATAAAGAGCGCACAATAAAACCAAGTTAATGGAAAATCAATATGGTGTTATTTCATGAATTTACATCATATCACATTCGCGTGTGTCATCGATAGAAAAGATCCTGATGAATTTTCTAAATAGACCAACTATAATAACTGCGCAAAATTCAGTTGTTGCGTTTCGACTTTTCACAAGTTATTCCACTGGTCTGAAGACAGAATTTTCAGCAAATGCCCCATATAATTTATTCTTTTTTCGCTGCTTATCTGTCCACCGTGATTCCGGCTGGCATGAGTTTTAATCACCTAAATAGAAGCCAACGCGCCCTCACTTGTCACTAAAATCTGTTCGGACGTAACGGTTGTGATGATTCATCGAACCTTTGCAACCATTGTTGTGGGAGAATTTATCCACCTTTCTTGGAGTATGGCTCTACCAGGCAAGCAGCCGTAGCAGTCATTGTAAACGGTGTAGACCTATTATATATTAATATATATATTTGGGGGGGGGGGGGTTTGGGGTGGGGGGGGGGGGGGGGGGGGGTTGGGGGGGGGGGGGGTGGGGGGGGGGGGGGGGGGGGGGGGGGGGGTGGGGGGGGGGGGGGGGGGGGGGGGGGGGGGGGGGGGGGGGGGGGGGGGGGGGGGGGGGGGGGGGGGGGGGGGGGGGGGGGGGGGGGGGGGTGGGGGGGGGGGGGGGGGGGGGGGGGGGGGGGGGGGGGTGGGGGTGTGTTTTGGGGGTGTGTTGGTTTTTGGTTTTGTTTTGGGGGTGTGGGTGGGTGGGGGTTTGTTTTGGTGTGTGTGTGGTGGGGGTTTTAAAATTAGATAAGTTGATAGGGTGGATGGGATTAAAGTAGGGGGGGGATGGGTGGGTGAGTAGGGAGATGGAGTTGTTAATATGGAGATTATTTTAGTTTTGGGTAGGGAGTGTGATAGATTTTTATATGTTGGATAAAGGCAAGTCGACATAACACTAAACAGTTTACCTTCAGTCAACAGCCCCATCGGTCAACGTGCTACTAATTTATGAGAGTTAAAAGAATTACTAGGATCATAAGTTTTTCACCAAATCAAATATTCACTCTTCTGTACTTAGTCTGTCAGGACCATTGATTGAGCTGGTTAGTGCAGTCGTCAAGTAAAGTTACCTATTTGTAAAACCTGTTTTGGCCAATTTAGATATTGGCTCGCATGTGTTGAAACTATCATAATTGTGGATACATTTTTATTAACTATCGACATCCCTGTATGGTAACCATTTATTACGCAAATTTTAAGTGCATCGCTGTCAAATGGGTGCTTTCCATATTTCTTCAAATTTTTCATTTTATCTGTTGGGTTGTCTTAATATGGCTGCATAACACCATGCTACTCCAATGCCTATTGTGTAATTATCGACGAATTCAGGTGTACTAGTAACCAGCAAAAATCATGAATCATTGCGTATTCATAAAAGCACAACCATAGAAAATCACTACATAAGTTTTTGAATAATGAGATCGGATAAACCAATAATACTGCGAACTTTAGTCGCGCTGACCCTTTTGTTTCTCCCACCTATTGTTGGACCCAAAATCGAATGGCCAATTAATAAATGTAATAATACCTTGTTCTAATATAACAATGTGGTAAGGATTCTACGCGTTCCTCGCTAGCAAATTCATTTAGAGACGATAAAGATATTGCTTCACGCCATCAATTGGAAGGCTCCGCTTTTGTCACAATATATTTTCATTCAAGCCATGTGTTATGCACAAATCTTTAAATTAAATTGTAAGTGATTGAATGCACCGCCAAGCAAACAACGCCTTCTGAGTTGTTTTTAATACATAACCGTATCTTTACATTAACAATTTCAAAGCGTCGCTTTATAACGTTTGAACATTAATAGTAACTATGCATTAACTTGTTGATTACGCTCATTTGTATGAAAGGGCAATAAAGTGCGGCTCACTACATGCACAAATATATCCGAAAAACAAGCCGGTTCGTACAGGGAACACATTTAGAAAAGCTGTTATAATCTAGAGCTATCGTCAACTGCTCTGCACCATTGCGATTGAAAATAAAGATGCGTCAGGATAGCCGCGGCATTTCTTCAGCCACCGCACCTAATCACTGTCCAATATAATTAATTAGCATCATTTGAATAACATTTTAGGGTGGTTATGGTGTCTTTCATTTAGCGTGTCTCAAAACTCGCTAAATTAGATAGCAAACGATACAATATGCACACTTCCTTGCACATTTTCCATTACAAGATTTATGCTTTTTATTTCAGCTGTTTATCTTACAGCAAAGAACATATTTCAAAATTTGTGAACTGTGCGCTTAACCTAGCCAGGTAGGTCTGTGTTTTTAATTAGGGAACCGGTTGTATATTAATACTGATGTCAATCCGAAGGTTCGTACTCAACCCGCTTAAAATTTCGCCTAAGAGAAGTATCAGTAATGGTCGAAAATCGTTTGGCTAACGGCAATAGCGAATAAACTCATTAATAAAGGATGCAACAATACTACTTATACTTTCTTTGAATGGATGGGTCAGATAATGTGGATGATCAATACGCTGAAGTAGGTCTCTGTATCCTTATCATCCGATAAACGGTAAACAATGCATAAAGGATTGCTTAGGAAGTGCAACCTCGCGGGCGTTTTGCTCAAACGTTTGTTATCGATCTGCTCGACATTATTTCCAAAATTACACTGGATTCCGAAACTTCACGCATGCCAGGTACCTTCTTTTGCAACATTTTAGAAAAGTGTCATCCGTAATAAAGTGTACTCCGTTGGGCATTTACCAAACAGTACAGGATTCAACGAAGTGGAAAGTTGGAAGAACAAGTGGTACTAGATCGTAAGAAACTGTACAATCTCCGCTTGATTTAGTGTGTTCGGAATTCAACAGTATGGCAAGATCAAATAAACTTTATGTAAATAAATAGTTGCACTTTCTACCTTTCACATTATCAGTTGCTGAAGGCTTAAAATTAGATGGTCGAAAATACAAATTTCGTAAAGAGTTTAACAATATGGCAAGTAATGTACTTTCGTCAATCGTGTAAGCGTCGTCGCATTTCCGATCAAATCTTGCGCACTACTGAAATGAATCTAGGGTAAGTTATACAGTTTTAATATTTCGCAGTCAAAGTCTACAAATAGAGAACGATATGTACTATTTGGATTTGCACGTCCAAAAATATTGGTGGAGGACGGACTGAGCGAAGTTGGACATACTTTTATCAAATATTATGTCAAATATATTTACATAACTGGTGCAGTAAAACTTCAAAGCTGACCTCCTCCATATCCTGACTATTTCTCCAGCTTTATCAATTTATTTTTTGTTTTGGACCTTCACCATATTTAGCTTATGATTCATGACCCCTGAATGTGGAGCAGGTGTATGAGTTGACCAAATTGGTCCCGTCTCTTGATTAGTCAATATAGAACGTTTCAGCTTTTATCCGCCGTAAGTAACGTGCATCTAACAAAGAGCCGGTTTCAAGGCCCATGCAATTACGTTATTGTTATTTGCGCTCATATCAGCATCAGTATAAAATAACGTATACAAAAGTATACGGAATGAGAGGCCAAGTCACTTTGGCCACTTTATGGTTTGTGTTATATCCTGTTCCGATTAAGGTTAAGTTCCAGTTTTGATCATACAACTGTGTTCGTCTACAATCACCATTACTGTGAGATTTCCTCAGTAACAACGCTTATGTGGAGCACAACAAATTATTTGTCTGAGCTGTGGATAAATTTGGCTAAATGCACTGGACAACGCATTTTATTTCATATATTGGAATTCGGGCTTTTTTGCTAGGATTAAGTCAGTTATTCAAACTGAATTTTGTAAGAATCCTAGCGCACAAGTTGAAAGCAGTATTTTCCGGATTGTAGGACAAGTGTGTCTAATCTCGTTGCAAGAACAGCTAATGCCCTAGCGCATAGGACGTGGGAATGACATTGCAATTTAGACTTTGTAATGTGTTATCTGCGGATGTAACTGATTATTTGACAGAGAAATTGAAATGAAAAGAAAGATGCAGCTATCATATTTTTAAATTCAGTGCTATTCACTTGGTTTTGTTTGTGATGGTGTAAATGTACTATTCAATCAAACTAAACAAACGGAATGAATGCATCTAATTGCGTTGAAGCGCTGCAGTTTATGAAACCCGAAAAGAAAAATAGATTCACTGATTAAATACAGGCTATCCATCTGCGACTCCCATCAGCATAATTCTAACTGCATTTTCAGTTGCAAGATCCCGGTTCATCTTGAAACCCTCTTCTATTCGGTAAGCTTGTTCAGGTACAGCAATCCTGGGCATCCCATTGTTCTTTTCCAATTGCTCTGCAGTTAATTTGTTTAAATATAACAAGTTTTATGTCACCAAGGTATTTTCAGATACCTTGTACGTTTACTGAGAAATGTTGTAGGCCCAATGCTGTGTGGCATGATTAAAACTGATGGAGAATTTAATAAGTCAGTGGCTTATTGACCACATTATTTATTTATTTGAAACTCTTGCTGTTATTTCACTAGTGGTGGGCTATTATTTTTGCACACAGTTCAAATCCTCTTAGGAAGAGCGCAGGTGTGTCCAAAATAATTTGGATTGATTCAGTGCTAGAGCTTGATTTCTTAGTTCACGGAAGTAAATGGGTTGGCAGCTAAGCGGAATATGTGCAACTAACACTTAGGTAACGTTTCTTGGACTTGGTCCGCAAACTGGGCACCCAAAGTCAATACCTGTAGTCACGTCCATGGAGCAACTGAAAAATGCGGCATTTGTCTACAATGAATGGTAGGGCATTCCGGACTGGCCAGTGCGAAATATTGTTAAGATCGCCCTGGAGCTATTCATAGTCATAGAGTGATCTGATCTCTCGTCATATTTCGATTTTATCTGCGGAAAGTATGAAGTCGGAAGAAATTGCTGGCGTTGCATCTTTTATGAAAACCAGATTAGGCGACGCCCCAACACCAAGCCTTGTGATAAACCGCGTTTCGCATCAATTGTATCAGACAGCGATTCTCGGACTGTCCCCTCCAGCCGACGTTTTTTATCGGAACTATCTTATCCAGCGCAGGATAGAGTCACCAGTGCCGTAGTTCCGACGCTTATGAATGAGAATCCGAAGGGATAAGGGCTCTAACACATTTGAGAAGTCCAACCAGAGGACATCCACTCGGGCTCCACCCTCGACTACTTCACTCCAGCAATTACGTGCAATTAGTACTCTAGTAGTTCTTAAATGTTTTTGACGCAAGCCGTGTTGCTCTGGGTGTATTAAGCTGTGATTTTCCAGATACTGCAATAGCGCATGTGCGATGACTGCTTCCGTAATTTTTGAAAGCACAGAAGCAGCGTTATTAGAATATAATTGATAGGGACAATGCCAGTACCTTTTTTAAGAATAGTAGTGATGGATCTTTGCCACCATACTAGTGGAACTTGGTTATCCTCTAGACAATGCTAATAGAAAGGGACCAGTTTACCGGCTAGATCACTGGCTACTGCCTGCGAAGCTTTCGGTCGAATGTTATCGACTCCAGGGGAACAGTGGATACTTCCTCAACACAACTTCTACATTGAGGACGATGTAAGTGAAACTATACGGTGAAATAACATAAGCGGTGGGAATATGTGGGCCCGTTAGCCGATGAAATACATGGGAATAATGAAATAGTAAGGTATGGGCTTCTTCCAATGTTAACCGTTTGAAAACCACAGCTATTACAATTTCTGGGATCCCGCGCTTCACGTTACGGAGGCCGATAATGGGATTGTATAAGAGTCTGCGGT